CAATTTCTCTATCAACAAAATATTGGCTCAAACATTTGGAGATTTTCTTGAAAATATTTCTTCTATCTTGAGTCAAAAACAGAATATGGTAATAAATGGTTGGAGGGCAGTGGTCACTTGTTAAATGACAGTGGTCATCTATCAGAGGGTAGTGGTCATCTATCAGAGGGTAGTGGCCATTTATCTGAGGGTGGTGGTCATCTATCAGAGGGAAGTGGTCATCTATCAGAGGGTAGTGGCCATTTATCTGAGGGTGGTGGTCATCTATCAGAGGGTAGTGGTCATCTATCGGAGGGGAGTGGTCATCTATCAGAGGGTAGTGGTCATCAGAGGGTAGTGGTCATCTATCGGAGGGGAGTGGTCATCTATCAGAGGGGAGTGGTCATCTATCAGAGGGTGGGGGTCATCTATCAGAGGGTAGTGATCATCTATCGGAGGGAAGTGGTCATCTATCAGAGGGTAGTGGTCATCAGAGGGTAGTGGTCATCTATCGGAGGGGAGTGGTCATCTATCAGAGGGGAGTGGTCATCTATCAAGAGGGTAGTGGTCATCAGAGGGTAGTGGTCATCTATCGGAGGGGAGTGGTCATCTATCAGAGGGGAGTGGTCATCTATCGGAGGGTGGGGGTCATCTATCAGAGGGTAGTGATCATCTATCGGAGGGAAGTGGTTATCTATCAGAGGGTAGTGGTCATCTATCAGAAGGTGGTGGTCATTAATCAGAGGGTAGTGGTCATATATCAGAGATTGATGGTCATCTATCAGAGGGTGGTGGTCATCTATCAGAGGGTGGTGGTCGTCTATCAGAGGGTGGTGGTCATCTATCAGAGACTACTGGTCATCTATTAGAGGGTAGTGGTCATCTATCAGAGAGTGGTGGTCATCTATTAGAGGGTAGTGGTCATCTATCAGAGGGTGGTGGTCATCTATCAGAAGATAGTGGTTATCTATCAGAGGGTGGTGGTCATCTATCAGAGGGTAGTGGTCATCTATCAGAGACTACTGGTCATCTGTTAGAGGGTAGTGGTCATCTATCAGAGAGTGGTGGTCATCTATCATAGAGTGGTGGTCATCTATCGGAGGGTAGTGGTCATCTATCGGAGGGTAGTGGTCATCTATCGGAGAGGAGTGGTCATCTATCAGAGGGGAGTGGTCATCTATCAGATGGTGGGGGTCATCTATC